CGCTCCTCAGGGGAAAGGACACCACGAGGAGGGACGAAGCCCTGAGGGAGGTCCTCCTGAGGGATCTCGGGGGGCGATGCACCAGCGTGACCGGGGCGGCTGCGTGCCCGAGAGAGGGCAGAGAGCGCGAGGTGAAGGCGCTCAGCTGCAGGGAGGGTAAAGTCCTCCAAGTGATAGTGGACGGCCTCGCAGAGATCGAGGTCGTCGCTGTGGTCGCCCTCAGATGACAGTGGGGCAACAACGTCCTGCTCACCATACTCCTGCGCGCTGAAGCGGCGCGAGAAGTCGTGGCCCTGTTGCGTGGAACGGCGGGGGCGACCGCGGAAAGGGAAACGACGCTGGGAAGTGCCGTGAGAGGAGGAGGAGGCGTAGCCCGTGCGCTGGGGCTGGGAGGAGGAGGCGGGGTGAAGACGGGCTCGCATCCGCTGGTGGTCCCTGGCGGCCTAGTAAGCCTGTGGGGCCGATGTGAACTCGTACCGCCATAGCTCGGAGCGGTACTCGAGCAAAAGGCTGGCCAAGAAACGATCGATAAGGGCAGCCTCGGGGAGGAACGCCACGTCGCAAAGGAGGCGGGCGTCCTGAAAGACCTGGATGTGGCGATCCAGGCCGGCAGCGCCACCAAAGCTGGACCAGCGTGTAATGACGACACGCTCGAAGGCGTCAGTCACGTCGTATCGGGCTCCGAAGCGATCCTTGAGGAACGCCTGGAAATCCACGGAGGTCGGAGTCCGACCCTCACGAAGGGAGTAGGCATAGAAATCCTCCCAGGCCTCGAAAGGACCGCCACGCAGGCGCGTGTGAGAGGTGACCCACCCACGTCTCGGGTGTGGCACCCATGAGCTGGAGTGTGCGGGTGACAGACTGCAGCCACTGAGACACGCGTATGCCTGTACCGTCATACAAGGCAATGTCCGACAAGCGGATGAGTGGTGCGCCACCGTTTTGGCGGCGAGGGGAATAAGGAGCGGAGGCCTGTGCCACGACTGAGTAAGTCGGCGCAGGTCCTGGAGAAAGGGGCGCAGCTGACTGTGCGCCCGGGCCGCATGGGGGAGCGGCGGTGGCAACAGCGGCAGGCTGCGAGGGTGCTGCGGTAGAAGAGGTCGCAGCAACCGCGGGAGTAGGAAGAAGGTAGGAAGGAGTTGTATAGGGTGCAGGGCGCGGAAAGCGAGCCTGCATGGGAGGAAGAGTAGAGGAGGTAGGGGGTGCGCCCGAAGGCGCGGCCACCTGTGAGGGTGGGGGTGGCTGAAGGCGTAAGAGGGCGAGGTTGGCCCGGAGCTGGGCAATCTCGTCCTYGAGACCTCGAACGTAGGTCGTGCGAGGGGTAGCASGGGGAAGAGTGGAGGAAGTGGATGCACAAGCGGCGTGGGGCATCCCAGAGGGGGGAGAGCCAGGTGGCGCTGCGGTCGTGCAAAGGGGGGGGAGGAGCGGGGCACCCGGAAACGCTGAGACCATGGTAACGGGTTGTGGTCCCGTGGCCGTCGTAACCGGAATCTGGGCCAGTGCGCCTGCAGACTGAGGAAGGGCCTGACTCGTGGCGGCCGTCGAGCTAGGGGCGTGGACGGTCACCAAAATGGCCGGGTCGGGGGCGGCAAAGGAGGAAACTCCGTCGTGGCCACCCTGTCGGAGAACTGGGGACCCGGACTGAGAGCCAGGAGAAGAGAGAGGATGAGGAGAGGAAGGACGACCAGCGTCCTGGAGTTGCTGCACGCCGGYGGCAAGGGTCGCCACCTGCGCCTGTAAGGGCCCGAGGGTCGCGAGTTGCGCCTGGATGGGCGCAAGGAGGGAGGTGAGGAGGGTGTGTA